AAACATAGCTAGGCTATTTTAGTTAACGGCACAGATTTTACTACATATTTAAACTGAGCAGTGTGTTTTTTTCCATATGTTTGACAGACTGTATTTTATTATGATAATGAACAGGCTGCATTGTCAAGGTAGCAATGCTTAGTGCGCGCGCATGCGGCGCCGGCACAATCACTTGAATTTTTTCCTTCTAACAGTGGAAGAAACTACTCCTTTTATTCATAAAGATAATCGGAATTGTAAAAGGTTTGCCTTTATTTGTGTACATTCACAATAAAAACAAATCTTTGTGCTTTTGTAAAATAAGCCTAAAGAAAAATAGGATGCCGCTTTCTGCCGTCTGTTTCCTTTCGCACAGCACAAAAATGAACCGAAACTCTGCATATTAGGCTACTTGTTGCACAGTTTCTTTAATTTTCTTAATTTATTATTTAAGTAAAACTATATTTCTCGTATAGGCCTATTTATTCGTTATATCTATATATATAGCCTAGCTTTATTATGTTTTTCTCCGCTCGCAGAAGCGCTGCAGGTGCGTGATGTAATATGAAGACCATGTGAATCCTCATGTTCTGTTGTTTACTGCTTTTTGAGCATGTAAAATTAATCCCCGGGAAACAAAAGTTAGTATGGGTCACAGACACTTATCCTTTCTAATTTAATTAAATTCTAATTTAAAATAATCTTGTCGGTTAACGGTTAATAATCGGTTAACGAGCGTCGATTGTCGGTTAGGAAAAATAACCGAAATGAACATCCCTAATAGAATCCATAAAAGTCTGATGTATCAAATATGATACACAACAAAAAACAAATGCACATTTCTAACTAGTACTTCATATGTCAGGCTTCACAGGCTTAATATGGAAGAACGTCATTCAGAATGAGTAAAGCAGCTCAACCCATTCATGTGCAACACCAGCAGGTCTCCTCTCTCCAATACACTTCCACCATCTGTCTTTGACTAGCAGCAACATGTTACCTCAAAATAAAAACCTGATTAGGACACAACCCAGTAAATGCATCATAAATCAACCTTTTTTTAATACACAGCCAATATAATCATAATATATAAACACACCATTTTTTTTAAAGATGTGAGAGTTGTTTATGAATACCCAAAGCACAGAAACAATGTCAATTAAATCCACTTTTGTAAATCCAACCAATCTATTCACAATGAAAGTGTCCAAACCGCAATATTTCACATATACGTATAACTGCAAAGTCTATAATATGTAAACTAAATTATTTACACACTAAACCCAGCAGAAATTCCTGCACAATCTACATATTTTTAAATGCTCATGACAAACATCACTACCTGCAATTCACAACAATTGCCTGCCGGTTGGCGTTTATCCTTGATATTAGGCCTGGGCGATAAAACGGTATCGATATTTATCGACGGTACACCTTCTTCGATATCGATTGAAAAAATGTTCGATATAGCGCACGATATAGGCACGTACTATGAGTGACGCAGACAGCACACACAAACAATACAGAACGATATGAAACATTATATCGTTGATAAAATTTTTAGCTATATCGCCCAGCCCTACTTGATATTTGCATAAAGTTGAGCATTTATTAACTGTTTGATGCTCTCAGCATTTTCTCCAACCCACTGTCAATCCCACAATCCACAATGTGAGCGTGTTGCTTGGCTCTCATAGGAATTAACTGAAACATTCCAGCAGTGTAAACACACCATACGTCTTCATCTACGTCAAACCACAAATGTGCATTTAATCACAAGTTTTGACAGTTTTAGGGATAATCACAGAAACTTTCTTTAAGACAGACGTGACAGCAAATGTATTATCAGTATAAAAGATCTCCAGATGAGAGGTTTAACACAAGTACAATCATTTGCAGTCTTTGTATGGTGGAATTTAAATACCACAGAAGCTCAACAAGTATGAAATATCACCCAAGAGTGGCTACAAGTCATTTGTAAAAATGTTAACAAAGACTTACAGGTTAAACGAAGCGAGGTCTTCATCTTTTCAAGTACAGCCGGAACCTACTCAAGCACCCCTGGGATACATGTAGCCTTGGCTGGGAACCACCAATTATATCATAAACCATTATGTGCATGAATGCAAGCTGAACAAATGCCGTCACCACATAGCATGTCCACCTGTAGTCACTTTTAGTTCTTGTTGAGCTCAAGGTGTCTGTTTCTGCAAGAGTAAACTTTGTTGGCTTCATCAGAGTATACACCAGCTAGGGCTGCACGATAAATTGCATTACTAACAAAATGCGCATGACAATCGCATTCGATTAATCGTGCAGCCCTAACACCAGCTACTCAAAACCATGAGGGAATTACAACGTATGCACACAATGTCCAAACAGAACATGATTTTGATACTGTGAGCTCCTAGTGGATTTATGGGGTAGAAAGCTAGTTGGTTTGTAGCCAAAGGCATTTGATGCTCAAAATGTTTATAGACAGACTCTCTCAGGCAACCAGGAGTTAAATCATTTGCCTACTGATTTGCTGACTGGTTGGGCCAACAATGAATGGCCGTTTAGACGTATAAATGTGGTTAATCATGTGTTCATGTATTCATCAGTCTGTCATCATTAGGAAAGAAACCAAAGTTTCTGAACAAGCTTTTCAGAAGTTTAGTAGCATTAAATGGTCTTTCTAGAATGATTTGAGTTTGAAAATGTACAGTACTCTTATTTCGAGACAGCTACCACCATACATCAGGCATGAATTAGCTACGTAAACAACCATTAGCTTTTACCTGTTGACAAGTTGGTCAAAAAGTAAACTCTGATTGAGGTGTTCGAACTGGGACTTCCTGACACGACGGCTTCTCTTGAGCTCAACATGACCGTTCATGCGACCGTGGTCCCCATCTGATGTGGAATCACCCCTCAGACTCATTCGACCTATGGGTTACATAAATCATCACCTGAGGAACTATAACATCATCATGACATCAAACCTGATTTTCTGAATTTTCTAAAGGCAGCATATTTGAAGCATCTATTAAAGATACTGACTGGATGGATATTGTGACCAATGTCCAAAACACGAGTGAATGATTATTTCCATTAAATCTATGGATGGATCAAGATTTGCAATACTGGGAAAATTGATTGTGTTTACAACTTGTTGTTAATTCACATTATCCGACATATATTTCCATCAATAACTTATGTATGGATGCATAGGTGACCAAATGACCATTCTATCGAGTTCTGTTGCTTTCATGTTTTTTTTTTTTTAAAGCTTAAAAAAGGCAGCATATTTGATTTGAGGGTTACAGATATAAAGTGTCAATCATTACAGTACCAAATTAAGTTATCTTTCGTAGGGGTCTGTCTCAGCTGAGCCTTTCCCTTCCCCCAACACTAGCTTTTTTTATTGTTGAAGACACGCGGTGAACGAGACGTTTTTCGTCCGACGAAAGGTGTCAAACGCGTTTTTGTTTTGACGGTTTATCGGTGCGCGTGACAGCATGCCGGTGCCTCTCGAGCGCAACAAACACACACAGCAGCAAAATAACGCTCGATTCGTGCCAGCGAGTCGGTTCTAACGAACTGTCATTTTCGGTGATCCGATTCACTTGATTCATCGCTCAAAAGCGCTCCTAGTTCTTTTACAGATAAATGTTTTCGAAATACTCTCAATACGTTTGTAATAAATCTATAATCTTATTTTACGTTGTACGTAAAATAATGTGTTTCATCTTGGTGTTGTCACGCCAATTCTTGCCAGATAAATGTTAATACAGGCACCTGCTCGAACAATATTAAGTTATATATGGCTGTCTGTATTTCTGCCCTAAAGTACCATGCAAATACAGCGAATCGGTTCGCTCGAATCATTCAAAAGAACCGGCTCAACAGAACGATTCGTTCGCGAATCAGACACCAATATAACAAAGACAACTTGGGGGCACTGAGTCCATTAAACCAGCCGGCCGGCTGGAATAAAGTCCAGCTATTGTGTGTGACAAAACACATGAAACTAAGCGACACGCCGCGATTAAGCGCTGTCGTGTCATTAAACTGCCATTTCTGCATCGCCAAGTGTCACTCAATGCGCAATTTGGGAACAAAAAGGTGGACATCCATCCATCCATCCATCCATCCATCCTTCCATCTATTTATCTATACATCCATCCATCCATCTCCAAAAGGCCAGAGTGAGCAGCTCGCTAACCGGCTGGCGGAGAGAGACAGACAAAACACATGAAACTAAGCGACACGCCGCGATTAAGCGCTGTCGTGTCATTAAACTGCCATTTCTGCATCGCCAAGTGTCACTCAATGCGCAATTTGGGAACAAAAAAGGTGGACATCCATCCATCCATCCATCCATCCATCCTTCCATCTATTTATCTATACATCCATCCATCCATCTCCAAAAGGCCAGAGTGAGCAGCTCGCTAACCGGCTGGCGGAGAGAATAGGCTGCCGGTGTCTCTCTCTTCCTTACACGGCTGTTGTGCTCGTCCAAGTTTGGGTTGTTCCTCTGAGACGACCTCGTCCGGCCCGAGATAAAGGGACCGATGGGCTTGTGCTCCGAGCTCTTTCTGGTGTTCACCATGATTGCTGTCTGTCCCCGCTGATAGACAGATCCTGTCCTGTAGCTCTTGCCAGTTGCTTTCGTTCTGACTGTGTCTCAGCTAGTGGAGTGCCGAGGCGCCATTTCCCTTTCTCTCTCTCTCTCCCTCTGCTGTCAGCCAGCCGAAACTCTCCGGCGAGCCACTTCCGCTACAGAGAGCGCGCGCTTGTGTGAAGTTGGCGCCACAGAAATTTTGAAAAATAGATTTTTTTTTTATACAAAAGCTGCGCAAAAGTGAAAGAATGCGTTGTTTTCTTTTAGTTATATTTACACTGTTGGTATTGGCAGTCAACTAATGTTTTAGTATATTTAATTACAGTAAAGTATTTATTTGGTGAAGAATGTAAAAGTTGCAACATTTTTAAACATTTTAAAGTTGACAAATGTGTTAATTTTCTTTCTAATATTTGGCTCAGTAACAAAAAAGTGATCCACGGTCATGTTTGGTCATCCACGAATATGTTTGGACATGCTATGTCCAAAATGTTGAGCATGTACCAGTACCGTGGTATTTTTAAGTACCTTGGACAGTACCGTGCAGTTTATCTAAGCACCATATTACCAGTTTCACTGTGCCATGCACAGTACTTTTTGTTATGGTTATATTTACACGGTTGTTGGCAAAAAGTATGAATAGGATATGGTTTAAATACAATTCATTTTAATAATTATTATCATTTCAAAACTGAAGATGTCAGGGACATGCAAAGTGACTTCCAGTCACGGAAAAGGATGAATATTTTTATCTTAAAATGTCATGGGAAAATCAAAAAGTCAATATGAATTTTTAATACATTTTCATCCAGTGCAGATTTTCTCAAACATCTTTCTAATCAAGTCGTCAGGCAAAATGAAATTTGGAAAATGTCATTTCAATCATAGTAAAGAATGGGAAATCAGTCCATTTCCAAGTTCAACCAGATGGTTTGACTCTGATATTGTTCTTCTGTTAGGAGGGGTGAGTAAATGGCAGTGCACTTACAAAACACCCTAATGTGATTATCTTTGGTTGAAAAAAAGTGCGTGTATTATATCCTCCACTAGTGGCTGGTATCTACAACAATAATGATTATTTCCAAACAGGTTTCCCCAAACACTCCCCGTCTTTCATTCGTCGATGAAACTGACAGCCATGCCCCCAAATTCTCACCATTGGCAGAGAGCTTCGTTAAACTTTTCTGATTGGCTAACATGCTGGGGCTACTCACTTTCTTTGTTGCTTACAAGTTTATAGCTATCGAATGATTTATCAGAAGGACATTATTTTAGTAATATATGCCAGATAGTAGGGTCAGGTGACGTGTGTTATTAAAATCGCTTCGATAGGAGCGTTAATCTGCACATACTATTGAGGATATTTTGTTTCTGTAATACTGCTAACTACGTTCAGCATCTGTCACTATCCACACCCAACACAAACACATGCGCGCCGGCCTTTATTCAGCTACATTCAGTGAACCAATTCATTATATTCATATCATAGAGTAGTAAGTAAAACACCATTTCAAGATCATTTGCCTTTGTGATGTCATAGCGACGTGTGCACTGTGCACAAACGTTACGTCAGGCGACGGAGACGTCACAGGAATGGTGGACTGCTGTAGCGCGCGGAGCGGCATGACAACTGTGAGAAATTTACGAGCCGAAAGGACAGCTTTACGACACCATTGAACCCTTACACTGGTAACGATCTACAGTTTTATACTCGGAATTATTAATTTGCGATCCAGAAGTGATATGTTATGGGTTCAGCGTGTGTTTACTGACATAACGGAGCGCAGTGCGCTTGCGTGCTCCCTACACTGTCCTTACGTAATTTTGGCGCACTGCTTTCATTTATTATGCTGCTTTTGAACCGTTTGTTACAGTGAATATGAATAGAACGCTTAAAGCATGCATGTGGGTACCATTACAGTTCAGAGCCTGACCTCAAAACGTTTGATTACATAAACTGAGATTATAAGTAGACAAAATATAGTCATAGATTATTGTAAGTGCATCGTGACGTCATCGTTCAGCGATAAACAGCTGATCGCATTTTAAATACTGATAATCAGATTAATGCTGATGAAATGTCTTCATACTTTTCAAATTTTTTAGGAAATATATTAATATTTATTCCTTTTAATAATATTTTTTTATTTGAATAATTATTCCATTCGTTATCAAAGAACTAAACAGTAATTGAATTCCGTGTATCATTGGTCATTTCTAGGGAGTTGAAACATAATTTTACCTTGATTGAAAAATGTGTTAATTTTAAATGTGTCAAACATGTTAATTTTTACCTTGACTGGACTGGTATGAAAGCAGATCAGTGTTTTGAGAATTTCAGATCTCACTTCACCTGTCAATCTCACACAGAAAGTCCTGCTCCATGAATTATTCAGTAAGCACAGATGCAGTTGTTACATTGACTTGCACCATCCTTTATAACTTATATATGCCCGCTTATGTTTGTGTTGCAAGATGGACAACAAAAGACGTCATGATTAGAGATATTGATTCAAGAGAAAGGGTTCAAGATGACACATGGTAAGTCCGCTATATTCAATTCAAGTTTATTTGTACAGCGCTTTTCACGATACAAATCATTGCAAAGCAACTTTACAGCAAATTAAGTTTCTACAATATTTAGTGGTAGGTTTCATCTGGTCTTGTTGAGATATATAGTTGAGTATCATCAGCATAACAGTGGAAACTAATCCTGTATTTTCTAATAATATTACCAAGGGGCAACATGTATATCGAAAATAGCAGAGGACCTAGGACAGATCCTTGTGGCACTCCATATTTTACTGGTGATAATTGAGAGGACTCCCCATTTAAATTAACAAAATGGTAGCTATAGACTGCTCTGTGTCTATTCTCAGCCTTGAAACATTATCATGAGCGAACATTACGCCATTACTGTATGTTCGTAATTGGAGTAATCTAAAAGCAATCTTCACTCTGTTGCCTTCATGAGCTCTTAGGTGTGAAGGGGCACACAATGAGGAAGAGGAGGATGATGAGGAGGTTAGCCCTATTAGATCCAGTTTCTCCGTGGAGGACCTGCTCGATGAGGTGGAGAAGATCAGCAGTGTCGCCAGTAGCGGCAAAAAGGTCAGACAGTTCATAACGAGACATCTTGTGTGCAATCACATTCTGAACATTCTGGTGGTTACCTAAAGTAAAAACGTTGTTGCGGTTTAGTAGCTACATCAAGTTAATGTCACTTTGAGAAAAAAAGTTCACCTACAAATGAAAATTTGCTGAAAATGTACTCAACCTCAGACCATCCAATATGTAGATGAGTTTGTTTCTTCATCGAAACAGATTTAGAGAAATTTAGCATTACATCACTTGTTTACCAAAGGATCCTCAGCAATGAATGGGTGCCGTCAGAATGAGAGTCTGATAAAAACATAACAATAATCCACATGACTCCAGCTGATCAAATCAGTCTTGTGAAGTGAAAAGCAGCATGTTTGTAAGAAACCAATCCATCAAGGCTTTTTAACTTAAAACTGTTGTTTCTGGCCAAAATACGTGCCCATACTATATAATAACACTTCCTCCAGGAGAAAAGTCCTCTCACATCAAAATCCACCAGCATATTTGTTTAGAACTATTTTGGACTGTTTTGGCTTGAAAACGATGCTTGATCTGTGCACTTTTTCACAAAAAAACAATATTATGGATGGAGGACTCATATTTTAACCAGAAGCAGTTAAATGACAGATTTTCAGACTTAACAAGATGTTAACTGATGGACTGGAGTGGTGTGGATTACTTTGTGGATTATTGTGATGTTTTTATCAGCTGTTTGGACTCTCATTCTGACGGCACCCATTCACTGCAGAGCATCCATTGGTGAGCAAGTGATGTAATACTAAATTTCTCTAAATCTGTTTAGATGAAAAAACTAACTCATCTACATCTTGGATGGCCTAAAGGAGTACATTTTCATTTTCAGCTTTGATTTTTGGATGAAATATTCCTTTAAGTGTGTAACTTCTGAGTCACTAGCATCATCAAACAGAAATGCAAATATAATCAATTTTTTAAGGGTTCTACAGGCTTCTTAAGGGTGTTTTATGGCCAAACTTTTTCAGGTGGAGATTGTAGTGAGACTGTGGAAAAATGGCTTCACGGTAAACGATGAAGAGTTTCGCAGTTACACTCTAGAAGAAAACCAAGTGTTCTTGGAGGCCATTAAAAGAGGGTGAGTAGTGTTTTTGTCACTGTGGCAATATTATAGCATTTACATTCCAGTTCTTGCAATGGTTTTAAAATGGCCATTCTATTATCATTATTGTATCCATCATATGATGACATGCAGACATAAAATCTTTTAGCTTTGTAACAATCTAAAAATCCTCTATTTAAAGTGAGCTGCCTCTGGAGCTAGAAGGGAGAGCTGAGGATGAAGAACTAGAAGTCAATGTGGAGGACATGAAAGATGAAGTTTATGTCCCAAAGAAAAAGACCTTTCACCCGTTTACAGGCCGAGGTTACAGACTGGGAAGGTAGTAGATCCTCTCTGGGTTATATTGTTTTGAATTGGCCAAAGATTCACACCTGAAGAGAAGTCATAATAGTGATACTTTAGTATATGCTATTTAAGCATTAAAATGAAAGATTTGAGTAATTCGTCTAGTCTTAGTTATTCCCACAAACATCCACTAGATGTCCTCGCAGCACTACTCACTGATGTTTTGACTGTAAATGTGTCAAAGATTATCCAGATGTTAGTGTTAGTTAGTTGACCCTCTAATCACATGTGAACATGACACCACAATAATTGCAGTTCATTGGACAAAGCTAGGCTTTTAACCATACTTTAGAAATTGATGAAGTGGAAATGATTTCCCTCTGTAGTGTGGCTCCGCGAGTGGTGGCCAGGTCTCGGTCGATACATGAGGACTGTTCTGGTCCTCCTCTCCCGGCTGTGGAGCTGAATGAGGACCTCCCCGTGACCTCCCTCCAGATCTGGCTGGCAGACGGTCAGCGTCTTGTGCAGAGGTTTAATCTGTGCCATCGGTGAGTATCATATGCTCTTAGAAGGTGAATCTTATGAAAACACATCTGGGTCATATTTCCCACTAAAGAAAAAATGTTTTGTTTATTTGTTTTGTGTGATTTCTGCAGCACTAATTTAGCCAAATTAAATAAAT